GCTCTGGTTCAGGCTCTGGTTCTGGCAAACCCTCAACTAAACAATTCTCCAATTCACTAAATAATGCGTCAGTTTTTTCCTGAGCTTGCTCGAAAGCTTGATCAGTACAATACTTTTCCCTTAAGTCAATATTCGTCAGAACAATATTTAAGCCCTCAACAATTACAGCTGCAGTCTTCCCAACTTCAGCAGCAGTCGTTTGACTTTCGGATGCCTGCAATAATAAAATATTTATTTCTCACAAAATAATTAAATTTTTCGGCACAACTAACGTGATCTCTCAGACAAGTGAAATACTCCAATACATCATATTTGGCTACACAGGATCCTAAGCCGTTTTCAATACTTGAGACTTTAATATTCAATGATTCACGTATCACTTCAGACTTTTTCGTTTCTTCTTCTCTGGCATTTTGACCCTCCTGTGCGCATTTATCACAAGCAAGTTTTCCATCAGCCGCCGCCTGTCGTATTAGAGGGACGTATTTATCGTAGCATTGCACAGTGTTTGTACCGGCACGTGAAACACGTCCGGAACGTAATAAAGTGAACGAACGTTTTTCAACATAACTTTTAAGTCTAGATTCGACTTGATCGGGTGATAAAGCCGCAACACAGCTAAGCTATTTTTTAATTTTCAAAAAGAAATTCAAGATTTCCTTAATTAAATGCAAACAAAATGTAAATAATGAAAAAGGAAACACTAACCACCAAACACAGGAAAGCAAACGAAATGAAAAATTTCATATTTGACGTGAATTCGTAAACTATAGCAAATCAATGCAAATATCCGACTCGACTGCCTGGCATTTGATTTGCAGTTTGATTTATATAGGAGAAGATTTTGAAGTGCTTTGCAATTTTTATGATAAGATGATAAGAATAGCTTTTGATAATAAAATCGAACTGTTAAGCAATAACATTAATGTTAAACATCTTCAAAAAGGTAATTTCTCTGAATTTTGTAAATACTTTATCAATATTCAGACACATTGGACACTTGAGATCGATTAATTTATAATTACAGCTTTTTAGATACTTGAGGACTTAACAATCAAGAAATATTTATTTATTTAAGATAATATTTTCTTTCTATTGCTACTATGACTATTACTATTGCTAATATTACTACTTCTACTACTGCCACTACTGCTACCACTACCATGAAGACTCTTTTCTGTGTTTTAATGAATGTCTTTATTTATCGCGTAATTTGTAAAATTCTTCACTTGCTTTAATTCGTGCATCACGTTTTCTAATGAAGCTAGGAAAGCAAGCAACGTTCAGTGCAGCAAAACATTAACAATCGCACTTGCTTACCCACCTTTCATCGGTTTTTGTGTTTTTTATTGTTTGCATTGTCGTCATCACATTCTTTCTATTCCATCTCTGTAATTTGTAATATTTATATCTACATACGTATGTACTTACATGCACTTATATATATGCCTATAAATGTAAAATCTATATATGTGTATGCACACCCCTTAGTCAAGTATTTCACATTTTGGATGTTAGTCTTGTTGTTGCCTAACTAAACTGAACTGACTTTTAAGCATTTATTTGTTATCATCGTCGTCGATTTGAAAATGTTGCATTTTTTGGGGCTATAAAGAGCCATAAAAATGGCAATAGCTATATGTATATTGACCCTGGTTTCTCTTCGCCAATCACTGCTTTTTACGACATCCATTATTGCATTATCATCATAGGTATTTTCACCGTCTTTTCTTCAGTCAGCATAACAAACAAAATTGTACAAAAAGTTTATTATATAAAAAAATCCCCCGAAAAAAATTTCATTTCTGATCTTTATCCGCATCAAAAATAAAAGAAAAAAACAAATGCTTTGCTTTTCAGTTGTTATTGCTTTTACGTTTCTTTGAATTCTTGTTCAAACTGCAGCTGCTATTATTAATATTATTGGTGTTGTTGTTATTGTAGCACATTTTGTTTTGAAAACAACCACATAGCGATCTTGCTGAAGTGGTTAAGATTCAGTTTTTCTATGCTTTGTTTTGCTTTACTTTATCAATATTGTGCATGCAATTGTATTTGCGGTCTGACTGTAGATTTGTCTGTCTGTCTGTCCGCCTAAATTGCGACCATTTCTAATGGCTTTTCTTTCAATAATAAAAATACAATGAATGCACATTTGGTAGCTTCCTTGGGCTATAAATTTTCCAGCCTTCCTTTCTATTCAAAGTATATATAAATACATATAAATATAAATGCATGTATATGTATACGTGTATATACATGTATATATATATATATATATAACGATCGTTTTTGCTAGATTACCCACTATTTTTAGTTTATTCTTGTTGTTGTAATTTTAAGCGCATTAAACATGCAACATGTGTTTTACTTTAAAAAATGAAAAAAATTGCAAAGTGATCATCATTAGTGTTTCCAGAGGGATACAATAGTGAAAGTAGCGAAATACCTCTTTTAAGGGTTTTCAAAATGCCTTCACGTAAGTCTGTAACCTTTTGGGCCCCCGCTGGCATTGCTTTTATGGCGAACTTTCGTCTGCGGGAAGGTTAATATTCAAGAGACCGCAAGCGTCCCGCAACCAATCACTTCTCGCCCCGCCTACATTTCAATGTCTACGTGGATCGAATATAAACTTAACCTGACTAACCAATATCTTCAAGATGGTGGGCTTACCCGCTCGCCCAAAAGCAAATTTCAGTCTCTCATTGTCTTTTGTAATTTTATAAATTTGACATAAAAATTTGAAAAAAGAAATCATAAAATATCATATAACATGAAACCAAATTCAACTGTAACTCTTTTAAATTTGATGTAATCGTCTAAAAAAGGTTAAAAAATAAATTAAATGAAACATTATTAGAATATTAATACTTAGTTAAGGACATATTTTTTGAATCCATGTTTAATTCCTTGAAAAAGTCTTCGTCTTAACACACGTCTACCGACGCGGTGGCGAAGTCTTAAAAAAAAATGAAAACAATTCTGTGATTGACATATGGTGGAGGGAAAAATAAATGTTTACATCATTTTCGAAAAAATAAAACCAAATGCAAAAATAAAAAATATATAAATCACTTTTTCCTTAGTATTGATAATGACTCGGACTGGCGTACTGTAGGCAAAATTTTGCAGTTTTTTAATCTATGCATTTCGTGGAAGGTACTTTTTTTTAATTTAAAAATTCATTTTTTCAAATAATAATAAAGCGTTGCTCGTATGAATTTAACGAAACACAGTTTACTGCACTTGATAGGCCTGCATTAGAGAACTATAAAGGTACTATCAGGGGATCAAGAGTAACCAGGTACGTCGATTAGCTTTCATGAAGTAAATAAAAATAAGAGTGTGCGTTGAAGCTTCTATCTTTGTTGATCTTAGCAGGAAGTTTGTAATATTTCGAAAAGTACATATATGATATATATTAATTTATTATGACTCAATATGTGATAAGAACTTCACTTGACAATAACACTACAATAGGACTGATAATAACGTTATTAAAAATGTGAAAACTCATCCCTTGGTCCGCATAAAATAACCAAAGGTAATTTTTTTTTTGCTCTCTTTTTTTACTACGTAGTTAATCTGTAAACTAGCCAAAAAGACAATAAGTAAATATGTTTATAGCAAGATAGGAATAGTAGCAGACGATCTTGTCCAAGTAGATAAGAAACGCTCCCAAAATATTTGCGGGTTCAAATGACATTTAAACAAATAACAAGTAAGAAAATTAAATTCGGTCGGGATAGAATCTTTTATACCCGTCACCGTTTAACCCAAAAGAAGACAAAAGAAGTAGAAGAAATTTCTCATGCTCTGTAATATGAAATGGGCGCAGTTGATTTCTTCTATTTTCAAAATAAAAGTTTTTGTCGTAGAAACAGGTGGCCGTTGTGGGCGTGGCCTTTGAAAACTTTGTGAAAGTTGAAAGCTCATTTTCGCTTTTTTTATTTGCTTACCACAAATGCTACAAAGTTGCTCAAACAGACAGAAGAACAGATGAACAGACGGACCCGTTTAGATGCATTCAAAAGTTGTAACTGGACAAGAATTTGTATACTTTGAGGGGGCTTTGAAGTTTGTTTTTGCATGTTATAAAGGTACTGAAAATATAGTTAAATTTTAATACACTATGATATTGGGTAAACGTAGACAATTTTTTCCATTTTTGTGCATCGTCCATAGAATATTCGTTCAAACTTTTGCATATTTATTTGCTATAATTTAGAGTAATGAGCAAAAAACCAATTTTCCATTCCCTTTGAAAAACAGAGATGTTCTCAGGTCAAGTGGTGCTGTGGGTTAGTCATTCGACTGGTTTGGGCCATTTCCAATATCAACCTGCGTGCAATAACTTCCAATGTTTCTGCCAAATTTGAAGTCAATAGCTTCATTTTTGCCGCCAGAGGAATATTTACAACAGACATCACACAGACGGACAGACGGTCAGACGGATGTCCTTAAATCGATTTAGAATTTAATGCTGATCTAGAAACTATATATTTTGTGACTAATGTGAAGTTAGCCCACTTTGTCTTCGCTAAAATGTGGGCTAACTTCACACTTGGGTTACCATCTCTGCTAAGGTTATCAATTACTGAATACTACAAAATCATTAGAAAGACTAAACAAAAATAGAAAGACAAGCATAAATGAAATAGGAAATTATACAGTAATGTTATAAGAAACTAAAAAAAAAACTTTTTCTTGCATTTACCATATAGTGCATGTGTAGCGTTGGCGAAAAATTGCAACATATAAAGTGTGTATAAAAAATTTTTAAGAAATATGACAAGTACAGTTTTTTGATATGTCTTAAAGGACGCTAAAACCTATCAGAAAAACCTAACTTCATTACCTTGGTATGGGGACATAGGGTTTAGCGTCCTTTAAGACATATCAAAAATCTCTAGTCTAAAAATAGTTATAACACGATTTTAACATTGCATTCTTGTAACGTAATTTTGCATGAGATTTATTAGCAATAACTAAGCATTTTTGGTTTTGCGTTCGGAATTAGCGGCTTAGTATGTTTTATATTGCACGTTTGCTAAGATTGTTTAATTTTAATACCTATTTTACTTTATTGTTATTTCGCAATAAATTCTGACTTAGCAAAGACATTTTTAGCGAAGACACGGATCATAAAATGTGGGTTATCTTGGTGGGCTATCTTCACTTCAGTATTTTGTGGGATCTTTGGTGTTTGTTTCTGTGCGTTGCAAACGTTTTGACGAAATGAATACACCCCTCATCCTTCAATGATGGGTATAAAAACAAATTATACGGAAATAAAAAATAAATTAATTCATAAATGGAATATCCAATATATGTTGCCTTTTCAATCTTCTTATTTCCTTGGATTCATGCAGAAGGGGTGTTAACGAAGGATTACGTGGCAAGATATTTTGCGAGAATGCGTTGATTCTGATGGAAAATCCACTGTTTTGTGGCTAACGAACCATCCAAGATTAACGGTAAGACGGAAGAGTCTTGGATTAATATTCTTGCAGTATTGCAGTATTAGACATACTGGCTGTTCTCTCCAATCATATGCCATAAGTCCAAATAGATTGTATCAAATGCATTTATATCTTAGATTAAGCTGAGAATCTGAAGGTATTACCCAATACAGTCTTCTGGCTTTGAAGTCAATTTGGTGGAGTTTAGCTTTTACATGATTTGTCCACGTAAATCCTTGGTCAATACGTAAGTCAAAGTTATACACTTGTTGGTAGAGATATTATTTGTCATTCAAAAATAATGGAAGACAAAAACCTTAACTTAGCACGAACGTAATATGCGTAGATTTTTCA